AGGACATGGGGCTTAGACCTGTCCCTAAGAAACGCTCAGCAGAACCTGATGAGGCTGATAAGAGCACAGTGGCTGCAGGACAAGCTCATGGTGGCAGTGCTGGTAGACAGGAGCGGCGCTCCCGCAGCGATGGGCACAGCAGAGCACTCCATCCACAGACAGCACTTGTAAGAGATGCAGGAGAAAGGGTCACCCATGTCAGCATTCTTGAAAGAATTAAAGAGGGAGAAGGGGGATCGGGAAGAGCTGTAATGACACATAGGCTCCATTAAGCTTATTAAATCATCACCTTTCCAAGTCAGCTCGATTGCTCGATCAGCCGAGCCTGCGTGCCAGCCTGAGTTCCCCTCTGTTTCACCCAGCTCATAGAAGCGATGGGATCATTCCAAATTCGAACCTTTACCAGTTACACCAATGCAACACAGCAGCACAAGGAAAATGTGCACAAGTTGTTTTTCTTTTAACCAACTTCTGCCTTGGTTCTTCCTGGAAACTTTACCCAATCGTCACCTGAATTAACTTGGGCTGACTAATTTGCCTGAGTCAGTTATTTGCCTTTAGAATATCCCATACTGCTTATAGTTATGAAATGTCCAAGGGCAATAAAGACTATAACAAAGGTGGCACTTATGTGAGAGACGATGATACACCACACCACCCAAACAATGACATGGATTAGCTCAGACACATCAGAGCTCCACAACTGGTCCTTTTCTTCTTCCAGATTTTAGGAAATACAGCCACTGCCTTTGGAAAAGCACGCACAACAGATCTCACCCATGTCCTTCACAACTCTCCTCAGAAGTTCAATTCCTTGAAAACTCAGGTGAATGATTCCTTCTGTTTCTGTTGCACGCTGCACCATTAAATGCACTGACAGCTCAGAGCTCAGATCCTGGAAGGGCTGCTCACAACAACCGATACAAATTCTCCCAGGAACAAAGATGGCACTGTATGCTTATCCTTATTCCAGAAGCCAGCAGCTTTATGGGATACTCTGACACATCCCTACATTGAATTTCCCACACCCTCTGCACAAGGTAGGGGCTTCTAAATCTATCCCCCATCAGTCACCCAACAGCTGGTGGCCAGGACAGGAGCATTCCTCCACTTGCAGTGCTTACGAGGGAGTTCTGCTGGATGGAGGTCAGTGACTCGGTGCTGTGCTTCCCCCAGCCATGGGCTCACACACACTGCAATCCACCCAGCTCCCAGGGAACACACTGGGAAAGAAAAAATGAAAACTGTAACGGGATCAGAGCTGAATTCTCACACTTCACATACAGAGGAAGCTGCAAAAATCTTTTGGAGAAAAAAACAACCAACAAAGCAATCTCTATTGCCAGACTGGGCAACAGCAAGAAAAGGACAGGGTGTTTGGGAAAGCACCAACACCTACTGACTGAAACAAACACCATCCGCTGCCATACTGCCCAAGCTGGATCCAGTGCACAAACATCACTGCAAGGCATTGGGGACTGAGACAGGCCCAAGCTCAGCGCAGCACTGTGATCCCAGCACTGCCACTTTCCTTACTCACCCACTGTGATATTTCCAGCCATAGGGTGCTTGCAAAGAAAACCCTCACCGTTCACCAATCTTCTGTCCACCCACACACATCACCACTCTCCCCAGCTCTCCCCATGCTCACCTCTTGTGTTGCAGCAGTAACTTTTGTCACCACCCAGTCCCATTTCCTTGCTGGAGTACTGACAGGAAGTCAAGAAAATGGGTACTCCACAGCCTCTTTCCTCTCCAAACCCATTCTACTTGCAGAAATCTCATTTCAGCTCCCATTTAATACAGAAAACCACAAGCAGTCACTGATGCAGCAGCCACATCTCCCTGTGCCCCACACTTCTGCGTAATAGCAGTGCCATACAGCACTCCCATAACCTTCTACCACCCCAGGTTTTTGGCAAAGAAATTTCACTACTCACTACTGAAAACCTTTCTTTTTATTTAAGAAAACAAGTGCCTATCTTTCGAACGAGCCTTCCCATCTGTACTTATCCCACAGTTCACATCAAGATCAGTTTTTCCAGACTGACGGTGTTCATTTTCATCAGCAACATTCTCAGTAGTTCCTCCCAGCAGGGATAACACACCTATATCTGCAATACTGGTTCCGTTGGTCTAGTTAAGAGATTAAAAAGGATCTCAATAAAAGTACAGATGGTTATAGGTGTGGGCTTTACTGGGGAAAAAAAAAAGAACCAGAAGATGTTGCAAGAAGCAACACGCAAGGATGGTAACAGAAGACAAATGTATTTATGAAAGGCACAGTGAAGAAGTGCAGCTACCTCCTCCTAAACTCACAAAACAAGAAAATACACGCAACCAACTGCACTTGGTAAGTAAATTAAGAATATAAACACACCTTAAATCTCAGATGCTTACATGCAAAACAGTAATAAAATCAGAACCTGTTCTTATCTCTTCAATATAATATTGCTAGTGGAGACCTCAATCACTGAATAAAGGCCATCTCTGTGCAGGTGTTTATAATGCTCCAGTCAATGATCACAGCTCAGTATAGCACATTTTTCCAAGGTATCTCTAACACAAAAGGAAGCCAAGAACCCCATTATGAAGTTACAGCAACTGTATGCTGAACGTTGGTGGCTACTCCTAAAGGGGGCAACTGAGCCTACACTAAGGACAACACGAAAGCACTACTGAGGAATCCATCTAACCCTCCTACAGCTTACACCTGCACAAACCAAGGTGCTTGGAAGGTTTTTTGTGATGCCAAATACCCGATGTGACACCTGTGGCAAAGTGTAACCATCCCAGCAGCTACAGGAGGCACACAGCATGCATTCTGAGAGCAGCTCTGCAGCACAGAGGGATCCAGTCCAGCAAATGGACTGGAGGAATCCTGCCAGCTTCACAGCAGTGTGACAGCACCGACTGCCACACACAGCCCTGCACAGCTCTTTCATAGATGTACAGCTTTCCTTAGCTGACATCAAAACACACACGTTTGTCCCAGAGCACTAAAGCATTACCCAGCTGCATGCAGGGCTGCACCTCCATCATTAAAAATAGGCAAACGTGAGACCATTGCTAGAAGCGTCAGCAGTAAAACACACAGTCGAGCACACAAGTGCAGGCAGGATCCCTGCAAACAGCACTGGGCCTTTGCTCCTTCTGCAGCCCCAGCCAACAGCTCTACATGCGACATGACAGAAACCTCAGAACTAAAGGCACATCAGCGAGCTCAGACACAACAAGCACAGCGCTCGCGGATGGATGGAGGCCTCGTGGCCTGCGCTGCTCCCAGCCCAACACACAGCAAAGCTCCAGGCTCCTGCAATTCCCTCTGAAGAGCTGCAAACAACCTCAGCCTTTGCTGCACCTCAGGACACGCAGCCCAAAGCAGTGTTCAACCCCAGCACAGGGAAACACGAAGGGGCCACGCATGTAGGCTGTGGGGAAGAAGCAGCAGCGATGAGCTCCAAAGGCACAGGGCAGAAATCCCTGCGGGCTCTCCAGGTCTGTTAAAGTGCAAAGAAGGCCGATGGGATGGAAGTGCTCCTGCACACGCAGTACCGTCTCCACACTCAGCACGCACCAAGGTCACCACCGACACATAACTCCTCGCTTTGAATGAGAATACCCCGACTGTTACAGAACCGTAAGGAACGACTCAGGACGGTACCGCTGAGCGAAATCAGAAGGCCGAAGCGCCGCAGCCCCCAGCCCAGCCCGGCAGCACCCAGCACCGCACCGGTCTGAGCTGTTCCAGCTGCAATCCCCGGCAGCACCAAAACACGGAGCTCCGCGATCTGAGCGCCGGGCCCGGCCGCGGCAGGACAAGGCGACCGCCCTCCGCCTCCGCGCCTCCCGCAGGAGCCGCTCTCTCTCTCTCCGTCTCTCCGTCCCTCCCGCTCCGCTCTCCCCGCACGCAGCCCATCATCACCGGGCGAAGCGCTCCGCCGCCGCCGCACAGCGGGGCCGCCTCAGGAAGCCGAGCGCAGCCGTGAGGGCAGCACCGCCGCGAAGCCGAGCCCGGGCCGCCGCCCGCCCGCCCGCCCCGCGACCCCCCCCCCCGGACCGCCGGAAGGAGCCGGCCGCCCCCCCGGGCCTCTCCTCACCACGAGTACGTCTGCTCCGCCATGGCTGCGGCGGCCGGCCGGGCCCCGCGCTCCTCCTCCGCCGCCTCCTCCCGCGCCGGGCAGCTCCGGGGGCTCAGTGGCGGCCCCGCTGCGGCTCGCGGCCCAACATGGCGGCGGCGGCGGCCGCGAGGAGGGAGGGGAGCGAAGGGGGGGTCCGCAGCCGGGCGGGGAGGGGATGGCGGAGCGGGCGATGGTGGTGGCGGCGGCGCGGCGAGGCGGCGCTTCAGCAGCCGCGACGCGG